ATTTTGTAGTAAATATCAAAAAAAATAATAAGGGAAACAAAAATATAAAACAAATCAAGAAAAAACACTTATTTAAAATGAAAAAAGACAAAAAATGAAACAAAAATGCGAAAAAAAAAGAAAAGAAAAAAAAAAGAAAAAGTAAATAAAAAACAAACAGAAATTACAATTCAAAAGCAAAAAACGAGGGAAAAAAATCTATGTTTGAGCTACTATTCAATGTTACTTTCAAATAGTTTTTTATTAAAACAGTCTGGCTAATTGGTTCTCCCAAAGCCAAAAAATTTAAACCACACACACACACACATCAGTTTTGTTATGTATGCTGTTGACACATCTTTATTGATAACTCAGGAAAATATTAAAACCACAGTTAATAACGCATCTAATGAAATAAAAATGACCCAAAAGTGGTTCTCAGACAATGGTCTCTTGTTAAATGAAAGAAAAACTGCTTTTACGTTTTATTCTTTTTTATTAGTCAGTGGGCTATGCTTGAAGACTGGTCGTAAACAAATCTAAAGTAAATGGAACTTCAAACGTTCCAGCCAGTCTCTATTATTTTCTAACTTTTATGCCTTTCACCAACAAACTAAACAACTAAGCAGCTGAAATTTGAACATTCACCTTATTTTTTTACAGACCTCATATATGCAAAAAACAAAAATTTGTAACCTTTGACCTCGAATAAAAAACATGCACAAGAGAGATCGATTATTACTTCTGACATTTAATTTATGATGACGTGTTCAAGGTCTGTACAAAAATCCAGCTTGTTGGGAATAAAATTATCACAAACTGCTGTCTTTTTTGTCTGGCCTATTGTTTTGGATGGATTTATTTAGTCGAGTTTGAATAGGTGTGAGCCACAATAAACCCTTGCGGGTTGCAGTGTGGGGTCGAATAGATCCACTCATTTCATACCTAGATGTCAGTTGAAATATGTCAGATGTCAGTACAATATACTTTAACATTTCAGTAAACCAGTCTCCAATTTATAATGAATGAAACTATATTTTCAGGAAACAGACCATCAGTTTCATCACCGACGATGTGATAGAGGCTACGACTCAGTGTCTGTTAACGGTTGCAAACAACGCTGAAGAAAACATGCAAGATGAGGAAACGACTCAACGGTTGATACTTGAAGAGTTCGGCAGATGTCTCACAGAAATCATTGAATGTTCCTCAAATCGTGTTTCGAGCTAATTTTGGACTATCGATCTACCTCTGGTGGATTGTACCGGATCCACAGTCACGAATTGCTGTACAAAATTTTAAACCTTTGGGATCCGTCAATAGATGAAGAAATCCAGGGAATCGTTTTGCTCTGCCCTCTGGTGAATAAATCTAAGTGTTGCCAGGTGATATTTGTCTACGTGTTCCAGGTTATGTATTTGTAAATGATAAGGGAAAATATTTTATAAGAATTACTTGTTTGAGGACTGTAATATATGAGGACTGATCATTTTGCTGTTTTTCAAACGTTCATTATTTCTTCCTTCGTAAATAAAGTAAACTCTTCAATCTGTCAAAACGTCTTTATTTATTTCTTGCGCTCATAATCTACTGTATCATTCATCATTTGTTTACTTTTATGGTCCTATTGAATATACATCTCAGGAGATGACTAAGTTGTTTAGCAAACCGCCCATTGAGAGACAATATTTCGTTCTGGTGAAAGAAAAGGGTTTTCAATAGATTCATTTTACGTCAGATTCCACTTAACAAGCTTACTGTTATGCTGCATTCAATTTCAAAACATCCATTTTTGTTCCATTTACTATTTATATTATAACACAGAATTGCATGAAAAATGATTTTACTTCCTAAATGATAAATAATAATGTCATTTATTGGTGAATAGCAAAGAGCCATCGACCGAAGTCCTTCAGCCAGTGTGTACAATTTTTAAATATTTGCAGTGATTTTTACATATGCTTTTATTCCTAAAATTACTGATTCGAGTCAGAATTTATCTCTGCATCGCAAATATTTTCCTCACAATTTTTCACAAGCAATAATTTATATTTTAAGGAATAATGCTTGCTGTGGAAAAAATAACAGAAACTCTGAAGACTTTATCCAAGCCAGTAACTACACCTGAAGAAATTTGTCAAGTAGCCACGATTTCCGCGAATGGCGACACTTCAGTTGGCAACCTTATAGCTGATGCCATGAAACGCGTAGGTAAAGAAGGAGTTATAACTGTAAAGGACGGAAAGACTTTGATAGATGAATTGGAAGTGATTGAAGGAATGAAATTCGATCGCGGTTATATTTCTCCGTATTTTGTTAATACCACCAAAGGTAGGTTGTAAGGTTAGGTTTTTGAGTATGAAGGCGCTCATTGCCACATTTTTAGGTGCCAAAGTTGAATATCAGGATGCCTTGATACTGCTAAGCGAGAAAAAAATTTCATCGGTTCAGAGTATCGTACCAGCTTTGGAACTTGCAAATGCTCAAAGGAAACCTTTGATCATTATTGCCGAAGATGTAGATGGTGAAGCTTTGACGACACTTGTTGTTAACAGGTTGGTACTCTTATTGGTTTCAATTACTTATATCTTATTAATTTTTTTTTTAAAGGCTCCGAATCGGTCTACAAGTAGCTGCTGTCAAAGCTCCAGGCTTCGGTGATAACAGAAAGGCAACTTTGACCGACATGGCGATCGCAACCGGCGGTATCGTATTCGGTGACGACGCCAACATAGTCAAACTAGAAGATATCAAACTTTCCGATTTGGGACAGATTGGCGAAATCGCCATCACCAAAGATGATACCTTGTTACTCAAAGGTAAAGGTAAAAAGGAAGATATCGACAGAAGGTCGGAACAGATAAGGGATCAGATTGAATCGACGACATCGGAGTACGAAAAGGAGAAACTTCAAGAGAGGTTGGCAAGACTTGCCTCTGGCGTTGCGGTTCTGAAAGTCGGCGGCAGCAGTGAAGTTGAAGTCAACGAGAAGAAAGACAGAGTGAACGATGCTCTGAATGCTACCCGAGCCGCAGTGGAAGAAGGGATCGTGCCCGGTGGTGGTACTGCACTTTTGAGATGTATCTATTTGCAATGGTTATTTCCTGGGTCTTATTTGCGTTCAAGAATAGAACATTAGCGCTAAACTATGTTTCGCATTTTGCCAGTGTTTCACATGACAACTGATCTAGTTTCCCCACTTGTTGGTTACTTATGACAAAAGTTGCATCATCGGCATATAAAAAAACATCTGCTGTATCAATATATGTAGGAAGATCATTTATGTATACAATAAATAAAAGGGGGCCAAGTACGGATCCCTGAGGTAACAAAAGAGTAGAGTCATCTGCTTACATAAAAACATCAGCAGTATCAATAAATGTTGATAAGTCGTTTATGTATATGATGAATAATAGGGGACCTAGCACTGAGTCCTGAGGCACCCCATGTTTGACTTCTATAGTTTTTGATGTCTTATTTCTCTCTAGCATGGTCAGAAATTGAATCCTGCCATTTGATAGGGGGTTATATCTTTGTTGATATATATTTTTTTCTTTGTATTTTCTTCCTATCAATAAAATCAATTATTATTATTATTTAGTGATACATATTGCTGTCTGTCTTTTAGGTATGACACGATAAGATTTTTGACTATAGTGAGCACCATGTCGGTGACAGCTCGAGAGGTTGATCTGAGAGAACGAAAACCATACTGATGATCATCTAGGAGTTTTCCCTTTTCTAAAAAATTCATTATTCTGTCCTTGATAATAGCTTCTATTATTTTTGAGATTATAGGAGTTATTGTTATAAATCTGTAGTTGTCACAATTATTAGCATCACCTTTCCTTAGAATAGGGGTTGCTCTCCCCAGTTTTATGTGTGATGGAAACTCACACTTTACCAGGCAAATATTTATCAGATGTGCAAGAGGTTCTGCTAAAATTTCAGGAACGAGTTTTATTATTTTCGCACTGATATTGTATGCATCCATACTACTACTATTTTTTAAGGTTCTCAGAAGTGTTAAAATTTCATTCTCGGTGGGAGGTATTGTTTTAATAATATTGTCAACCATTGTTGCACTATATTCACTGAAATCATCCGCAGTAAGGCACGTGCTTTCACTACTGAAATTGAAATTGATTGCTTCCTTCCTTTCCTTGGAAGATTCCCACATTTTTTCGTATCAAGATAGAAAAGTAGAAAGTCAAAAACTTTCTTCCTCAAAATTAATCTCTCCCAAAATTATACCCTTTCAATTTATTTCTGTTCTTTGTTTCCTTGTCTGCAGTGTTCAAGGTTTGTTTAGTCTTACAAGAACCCAGAAATTCAGTTAGTACTCCATTTTTATCTCCTAAATTTTTGTTTTTGCGATGTAGTCGTTCTTTGTTCGACCGTGTTAGGAATCACACGTTAAAAGGTAAGACCTCGTTAGTCCTTAGCTCGCACAAGTTTCTCAACTTCTGAGAGTTGTCGTTCGTATAGGGGCGATAGCTGATTAACGGAAAAACAGATTTTTAAACAGATTCGATACTCCGTATTTTGGCTCAGGAGTTTCGGGAGAAATATTTGGCTTTGGCAACAATGTAGTGATATTTGCTGTCTGGGTTGATGCATTCACTCTTGGTTTAACTGTTTTTTTCACTCTCAATTGTATTTACACTTGTGTGGATATTGGCATCTATAAAAACTGGTCTCCTAGATCCTTTTGTTTCCTTATTTCTGAGAGTTTTTATTATGAATTCCAATTCGCAGATGTTGTTTTGCAGATGTTTTTTTTTCTTAGGAAATTGTTCTCCATTTCATTTGCTTCATCATAAAATAATTTATGCTCGAGGCGCATCTTAGTTATAGTATCAAATTGTTATTGGATTTCTTTTCAGATCTATTTCTTCATCTTTAAGATATACGCCATAATCGGTTTCACTGAAGATGTTGCAGGTTTTACAGATAATAGTACTGTTATTTAAGTGGGTGAAAGGCTTGGTTTATAGAGAACAACTGGTATGAAAAACACCGGAACATTTTGTGCACACATAGTAACCATTTAATAGTTTTTTCTTACAGCAGAAAAATATAAAATTAACATTTTTACTGGAGTGCTCCGATAAACACTGTTCACTTAGCGTCATATTTGTTTGCTTTGCTTGTTTGCTTTATAATAGATATTACTTCTATGGGTGTTATTGGTCTTATGATTATGACGTTTTTGTCAGTTATTGCTTGGATGTATTTATACACTTATGCTTTTTAACTCAAAAATGAAGATGTATTATTATTATAGTAGTTTTTAGAATGTTGAAAAATGTTTCTGTTGCAAAAAAGGTGTTTATTACTTGGACTGATAATTTTAAAATGAAAATAGGCATGTACTCAATAATTCTGGGATACTACCAAACCCACATTTTTTTAAACGATTTTAATTGATATTGAAAAAGAACAATTAATAGTTGAAAAAATTTTTTAAACACCCTATTGATAGAAAGACAATTGAAACACATTCAATATTATAAAATTGTCACTGTCAATATTTCAACAAATGACAGAAGAATGATGAAAAATTGTGATTTTCAGGCTAAAATCGCATGTTCAAATAACTGTAAGTGTGTAGGATGTAGGAACATTGAAGATTCTATCGAGAAGAAAAATATGAGACACATGACGACTGAAAAAGCTACAAACACTCCTGCCCTGCCTGACGGCGAAGCGGGATCCAACAAAGATAACTCTCATATTCGTCATAGACGCACATCTGGGGCTAGGTAAGTTTAGGTGTCCAGTGATTAACATTTTCATTTGGATGTATCTATCATTTATTTATAAAAATTGTTCTGGACAATTACGAGACGTTATCAAAGATTCTGAACTAAGTCCGTTTGTTTTATATACAGTGTGGTCCACTAAGTCTGCAACAAATGGGAAACTTTTATTATCGATTTCTCAGAAAATTTTATTCTTGACAAAAGTTGGTGCATGTTCCGAAACTATACCAAGTGTACCTGAAATGGCTTTATGACAAACACCATACGGGATAGGCAAAAAAATATAAAGTTCGTTCAAGAGTAATAGAGGAATAGAAACTCGGAGAGGGAAATATAGGTATCACACAGCTGCACGCATTGAACTTTATCGACGAATTTTTGTTATTTCGGCTTGCGGCCTTGAATCATTTCCTTCAAAATGAAAATAAAAATTAGCTACGCTCGAGAATGTTACAACTTTGCTGCCTTCCCCTTTCTTCACGTCACTCTCAAATTGTCATATTACTGGAATATACACTTTTTAGCAGGTAATTAACTCACCCTACTTTAATCTGACGCGCTCGAGAATTTCTGATGATCAATTTTTTTTACTAATCTGATCCTTTTTCCCTCACAGGCGGCGACCACATTTTTACTGTGGATGGACAGTGTATATCACTTTGGCCAACCCCATTCAGGTGGTAGATGCATTTTGAGCATTTCCATCAGTCCTGAGAGATTCATCGTTCCACCTCGAATATTACGGAAGATACGGGGGTGTTTCCATTAGAAGTGAGACAAATTCGGATTTTTCAGGACTGAAATTTTTTCAGGGAAAAAGTGTATTCGTAGTAAGTTGGTTGTCCTGATCACGAATCTGAAGGAATTTTGAGCCTATTTTGC